TTTACAACCCCGAGAACAAGAGTCACATAACCTTCCAACTGAGCCAGCCAGGGGCCCCTATCTAGGTTCACATCTTCATCCTATATGAGGCCTGAAGGTCTTCCTTTAACATTTCTTGGAGTTCAGATCTTCAGGGGCTGAAATCTTTTAGCTTTTGTATATCTGAAAGAGTATTTTGCATTTGTTTCGAAAGATCTCTTTACTGGGTGAAGAAGTCTAAGCTGACTTTTTTCTTTCACTACTTTAAAGATGTTCCACTATGGGGGCACCTGGGTGGCTCAGTTGGCTAAGCATCCGACTTCGGCCCAGGTCATGATCTCACGGTTTGTGGGTTCGAGCCCCGCGTCGGGCTCTGTGCTGACAGCCAGCTCAGAGCCTGGAGCCTGTTTCAGATTCTGTATCTCCCTCTCTCTCTCTCTCTGTCTCTCTCTCGCTCACTCTCTCATAAGTAAATAAAACATTAAAAAAAAAAAAAAGATGTTCCACTATGTGCTGGCTTGCCTTTTTTCTGATGAGAAATTTCCTATCATCTGTATGTAATGTGTCTTTTTTCCTCTCCTGGCTGTTTTTAAGATTTTCTCTATCACTGGTTTTAAGCAATGTGATTATCATATGCCTTGGTGTGGTTTTCTTCATGTTTCTTGTGCTGGGAGTTCATTGATCTTACTAATTTTTGAGTGCCTTGTATTTAGCACACTACCTGAAGTATTACAGATAAATCAGCAAGTATTTCTGAGTCAAGTGGAATGATTTTGTAAGGTAAATCAACTGTATGAATGCATCTATTTGCATCTTCAAGTATTTTAATTGGCTAACCAAGATAATTTTCACTGACCAGTATTACCTTTTTCTGTGGGCTCTACACTCCTTCTGGCTCCTCCCACCCACTGCCCTGCACTTTAAGCTCCAGGAAATCTGAATTATTTTGGATCTTCCAAACTGTCGTGCTGTTTCATGCTTCTGTGCCTTTGCACACGCCATTCCCTCTGCTTTTATCTCTTTTGTCTGCCTGGGGTACTATTATGCATCTTTCAAGATCCAACTCAGATGGTTCAACTTCCAAGAAGCTTAAGACTTCCTTGATTCGAACCCCTTTCCCATCAGATTGACTTCTTCATCTGAGCCCATCCTAATTTTGTAAATACTTCCATCACTGCATTAATCACATTTGACTATCTGAATAATCTAGCACTTAGCCCAATTTCGGGCACATTGAAGTGCACAGTGATCCTTACTTGAATAAGTGTGAGTTTGGAGAAATTGAAGAAAAGGACGAGAGAAGGGAGCCTGGGTGGCTCAGTCTGTTAAGCATCTGATTTTGACTCAGGTCATGATCTCGCGGTCCATAGGTTTGCGCTCTGCGTGGGGCTCTGTGCTGACAGCTCAGAGCCTGGAGCCTGCTTTGGATTCTGTGTCTCCCTCTCTATCTGCCCCTTCCCTGCTCACCCTCTGTCTGTTGGTCTGTCTCTCTCAAAAATAAATAAACATTAAAAAATTTTTTTAAAAAGAAAGAAAAGGAAGAGAGAAATTAGGAGGGTTCTCAATGCAAATCCTATAGGGCCTTATTGGCTATCGTAAGGATTTTAATTTTTACTGTAGGTCAAATTGAGAACCTTTGTAGGCTTCTGAGTAGAGTGATAACATGATCTGACTTAATAGTTTATTTATTTTTCAAATGTTTTATTTTTGAGAAAGCGCAAGTGGGGGCAGGGCGGAGAGAGGGGGACAGAGGATCTGAAGCGGGCTCCTCCTCGCTGACAGCAGCGAGTCCCATGTGGGGCTGGAATGCGCAAACTTCTCCATCATGACCTGAGCAGAAGTCAGACACTCAACCGACTGAGCCACTCAAGCGTTCCCTGACCTAGTAGTTTATAACGGTCTGTCTGGATGTATGTTGAGAATCAGTAGTTGGTGTGTGTTGTGGGCTGCATCGTGTCCCCCCTCCAGACAAAAGATAAAGCTCAAGTTCTTACCCTCCAGTCCCTATGAATGTGCCTTTATCAGAACTAGGGTCTCTGTGGATGTAATCAAGTTAAGGTCATACTGGTCATATTGGATTAAAGTGGGCCCTAGCCCAATAACCAGTGTTCTTATTGGGGGGGGGGGGTTGGGCACACGGACACACACAAACAGAAGACAGCTATGTGGAGATACACAGACACATAGGGACAACACCATATGAAGACAGAGGCGGAGATTGGAGTGATGTGTCTATAAGCCAAGGAGGCCATTGATTGCTGTCAACAATCAGAAGTTAGGAGCTACAGACGGTCTCTCAGAGGCTCCAGAAGGAATCATTCCTGCCAACACCTTGATTTTAGACTCCTAGCCTCCAGAACGGCGAGAGAATAAGTGTCTGTTGTGTTGAGCCCCCCAGTTGGTGATAGTTTGAAACGGCAGCCCTAGGAAGCTAATAATGCAGGGGACAAAGGTCGAAGCGGTCAGGAGGCTAATGCGCTAGCTCAGTGAGTCAAGAGATGACGGGACCGAGATCCGGGCAGTAACGGTGGAGCTGGTGAGAAACCACCAGATTCTGGATACATTATGAAGATAGAGCCAACAGAATCTGCAGATACATAGGTTGTGGGGTGTGGGAAAAGTTAGCTATTGTTATTATCTGCATGAATCATTGAAATCTTTACCAACATACAACATATACGCACAAGCGTGTATTTTTTTCATTGCTCCAGATATCCCAGGTTTGAGGTTCTTCAAACAAGGCTCATTCATCGGGGACATAAAAAGAAGCTTATTTTGCTATGTGATCAAAGGGTAAATCACATGATTTCCCCGGGTCTTAATCTCCTACTTGGTAAAACAAAAGTCGAGCTCTATTGTTCAACTATGTGGTTCTATTATCATCGAGTACCTTGTTGCTTCGGTACTGATAACGTTTCCAGAGAATAGCAAACTGTTTTCTGGCTTCCATATTTGAAAACCTATCTGCAGGCCTGCAGTATCTTCCAGTCCCAGAACTCTCTGTCCTCTCTGTTGTTGCTTGTCTGCCATTTGATACTCTGAGTAGGAGTGACCCACCATATTTAAAAATAGAATTACAGGGAGACCAAAGTAACCCTTTATGCATTCTTTCGGGATATGAGAGTGGAATGGGGGTGCCTGGTGGGAGTCTGGGACGCCATCTGAAATAAAGACTTGGAATTTTGAGTCTCGAGACTTCAGACTCCACTCAGAGCCACCCTGACTTTATCACCCTCTGCATGTTTATATTTATATTCTAGGAGGTTAATGAATTCATAAGACAAGATCCTTGTCATACGAACAGGAAACATTCATATAGGGTGTGCTGTGTGTCAGGCATTGCTCTAAGGGTTTTGAAAATATTACCCTACTTAATCCTCACAACACTCCTATGAGTTTAGGTAGTTATTTTTCCCATTATACAAACAAGGAAACTGAGGCACAGAGCTATTAAGATTCTTTGATTGCATTAATGGGGGATCTCCTATCAAGCAAAACTAAATGGAACCCTTTCAAAATAATTAAAACAGAAATGATAAGTGCAAGCAAGGCAATTTGGAGAGTTACTATCAAGAAAAGAGGTTTTGTCACAGTCCCACAAACTAATTCTGACGGGGTCCATAACAAAACAGCCTTGACATTAGGCCTTCCTGCCTCCCACCCTTGTTGACTTTGGATCTCTAAGGAGGAAAAAGGATTGAGAACTAGGCCTCAGGGTATCTGAACGCAACCGTGCCAGCTCGCAAACACCTGTTAGATCCGGTTCTCAAGAAGTTTCGAAGCTTGGAAATGTACCCTGGTATTGTTTCTAAGTCAGCCCCTTGCTGGGTCTCGAGAAACTAGACTGTCTTAGACTGTCGCTTTGCAAACGTGCTTTAATCTTTCACTTGAGATTCCGGAGCCAATGTTTCCTTTCACCTTCATGCTTCTGGAGAATACGAGCTTTCCTAAAAGGCACAATTATTACAGTTTTGGACACCCGAGTCCCGCTCTGTTCCAGGCCCCGCAGCCTTCGGCCAGGCCTATCTTTTTGGTCAGTCTCAGCTGGGTTCAGATCAGAGTATGGCCACGCTGTGTGATCAGTGTGTGTGACCGAGTCGGTGACGGAAGATCCAGCGGTGGGCAACCAGGCTCCTCCATGACTGAGGGGAACATTTATTTATTTGGCAAAATACCGGGAGTGACGTCTACAACCTAACGAAGGACGGGGGCGTGTTCCCCCACCCAATCCTGGAAGTTGGGAGCAAACTTTGAAGCTGGTGTAGAACTGAGTGCCCCCAAATAGATTTTAGACTCAGGTGGGTGCCGCGGTGGTTTGGGGGAAGCTCCTGAGTGATAAATGAGGAAACCTGAGCTACCTGAGACACCAGCTCCATCTCCCACAGGGGCACGATGGGGGGCGTGGGGCACAATGCTCTCCCGACACGGGCCCCTCCTTAGAACGCCGGCCAGAGGCAGACATTCCGGCCAGACCATTGAGCAGAGGGGCAGGGGTGGGCGTGGGGGTGGGGGTGGGGGGGGTGCCATTTCCACCTTGTTGGGGATCCCCGAAGCACATGCAGGCTAACCTGCCCGAGCTAACCCTCCTCAACGTCACGCCACTGAAGGGCAGGCCTAGGGATTAGCCCCGTGCCACTCCCTCCCTCCCCCCACCCCCCACAGTCACCGTGTCCAGGTGGCTTTGTGACTCACCCGGACCCTCCGTAATAAGCCCACAGTGGGTGGGGCCGCCTCACACTTTCTCGCCCCTTCCCACCCTGACCCAGTCGTCCGCCGACTGAGCTCGCGACGCCGGCGGACAGCAGCCTAGCCGCCGCCGCCGCCGCCGCCGCCGCCTTGACCGCCCCACCGGGCATGCTCAGAGCCCGGGCCGGCCCTGCGTGGCTGCAGGCAGCGCCCGGCGCTCCACGCGGGGCCCCGGCGCCCCGGTCCCTTTAAATCCGGCCGGCTGGTTGCTAGGCAACGGCGCGGCCCGCGCTGGCGCTGCACTGCAGAGGCTCTGCCCCGCGCGGGCCGGGCCGGGTCGCGGTGGCCAGCGCCGAGCCCAGGGCTGCCGGCCGCCGGTGGTGGCTGGCTTCGGGAAAGGGGAGCCAGAGCCCTCCGGACCCCACCCACGCTTCCAGGTACGTCTGCGCGCGGGAGCGCGGGGGCTCCCCGGGGATGGGCCGCAGAGTTCTCCCCCGACCCCGGCCGGGGCGCCCGGCTCCCCCCCCCCCCAACCTCGACCCCCCGCTGCGGCTTTCGGCTTTCCTCCAAGGCCCCGGGGCCCGGAGCTGGCGAGCGCCAAGGGAGCCGAGGGAATGGGGCGTGGGAGTCGGGGCGCAGAAGGAAGAGTGGGGTCGGGCCTCGCCCGCCGCGCTCTCTCCCGGCCCCCGCCCCCTCCAACCCCCCTCCCGCCATGGGGTAGGGACTGGGGAGGTGGCAGGTAGCGCCCAGACCACCAAGGGAGCCCCCTTCTCCCCACTGGAAGCGGCGACGGCAGGAGTTTGTTAACCATTTACCGAGAACCCCCCTAACTCTGCATGCATAGATGCCGCTTTAGAGCAAGAATGTGACTTCCATACTAATAAAGTACTCAGCCTTCGGAACTAAGGTGACTCCAGTATCTCTTCTTGTAGAAGGAGTAGTTTCACACTAATAACAAAGAATTGGAGGGTAAGAGCCGTTCACCGGGCCCAGTTTTCAGTTTTACTTGGCATCACTTTCAATATCTGCCAAACAATAGGGAAGACAACTTGTCCCACGAAGTGGACACTTGGCTCAACTGTTAGGAGCCTGGAAGATGAAGGCGAAAATCGAGGTCACTTCCCTTTTTAACGATTTTACAAATTAACCCGACCCTCGGAGCGAGGCAGGGAGGCAAGACCTGGGCTCCAGCCCTTTGCTAATGTGGCTCTTGGCAGGCTCCTGAGGAACAAGCATGCTGCCGCGGCCACCAGCGGTGGCTCATTTGTTCACCAGGTGCTAAAGGCCGGGAGATACCTGTTGAGTCACATGCCACCATGATTCTGGTGCTGTTTGATACCTGCGTTGCTTGGGGGCCGGAGACCTCGTGGCCTAACAGTTGGGAAAGTGGGTTGACAAGTTAAAAAGAAAACTTGCTTCAGAGTGTCTGGCGGCACATTCTAGAGAGGCCACACGGCATTCTAAGTATATCGCTTGTCATTTTAAGCTACAGCTCGGGTATAAACAGGGATCTGGGCATTCTGGTTAATTATATTTCCTAATTAGGCTGTGGGGATTTTATTTTCAGTTCAAGCTGGAGGAGAACAACGGCATCCAATAGAAGACCTTGGACGTTGGAAAGTGTAAGTTCTGCCTGCGGGCTGATAACTTGTTACTGTTGGCGTTTAGAAGCACAAAGCCTCCCTCAAAAGTCTTCAACTTTGTAGCTAGATCACTAGCCTGCATTGTCAGCACGCTATCAAAAATGTCTCATGACAATACAAAACAAAAGAGTGCCCCGAAGACGTTAGCCAAGCCGAACAAACTTTGAGGGAAAAATAAAAGTCCTATTCCTAAAATGTTACGCCCCTCCCATACTGTATAACCCAGAGGAGAAATTATAAATATTTGCAAAAACTCCATTAGCATCAAAGCGTTAATAGAATTTCTGGAAAGAAGATTAAGGAGCACGCACTCAACAAATACTTATTGGCAGCTCTACGTGCAGGGATACAGAGCCGAATGAGATGCCGGGAGATCACAGAGTATTGGTGAAATAGAAGTGTGATGAAATGGGGTAGAACAAGCCTGGGAAAAACCCAGAGTGCTGGGTCATCCGTCCTCATATTCAAACTGGTAGTCCGCTGTGAGATTTCTAAGAAGTTCTTGGTGGCACTGAAAAACACTGGGGCGTTTGGAAAGTTCTTGGTAAAAGCAACTGGAGATAAAATGCAAATATCTGCTGGTGCAGCAAAGACTACCTTAGAATCAGGTTAGCTTCAGAAATGTGGGGGCCTCCGTCCACCCCCCATGGGACTCAGGGCTGACATTCCCCGAGGATGCAGGTTAAATCAGTGTAAGATCCGAGTTTAGGTTCCCCACTGCTGATTTTAATAGCACTTGCTTTTTTTTTTTTTTTCCCCAAACGGACTTTTTCTGATGAGGTCTGATGACTTCAGGCTGGCAACTTTGGAGAAGGAGTGGGTTGTCTGACTCTCTGGTTTATGTCCCAAGGGAGGGTGAGGAAGGCCCCAAAAAGAACAAAACCTATTGTTGACGGTAGACTTTAAAATTGCTTCCGTTTTCATTGTCGTTCATTTCTCTTAACCCCCCCCGTGACATAGGTATAGTTTCCCTATTTTACACCTGAAGAAACTGAAGCTCAGAAAAGGTGAGTTTTCCCGTAGTTCTCAAGTGTGGGAGATGAGATACCTACCGCCCTCCAGTCTTTTTTCACTGTAGTCCTTACCCACTTCCTTTGTCAAGAACTTCCTTTTCCTTCGTCCGCACGGTTTTGCACGGTAACACATGCTCCTGCACTTTGACTTCAGACACTTGATTGGGGTCCCCATTTGGGCATTTAACATCTTTCTGCGAGCCGGTGATGCTCAAGAGGGTGGAAAATAGAGGCTCTCCCCTAGAGGGGGCAAGTCAGGATCTTCTCAAATAAGGAGTGAGGGGAATGATGAGAGTGTTTTATGCCTGGGAACAGTGAAAGCAGAAAAAAAGGTGGGTTAACTACTGCTTTTAAGTGAGAACAGATCGGACAATTGAGCAAAGAAGGCGGGCCGGTGACTTTCTTTGTGGCAGACTTTTTTTTTTCTTTTTTCCCTCCTTCCTTATTTTGGCCTTGCCGTTTTTTCTGCGGGTTGGGAGAACTGAAACCATCCAAGAATAATGGGGAAAAGTTCCCTGCGCTAAGAAGGGCCCTTTTGTCTGCCCCTCGCTGCTCCTGGGCTGTGACTAAAAGCCACGCCTCTAGCTGAGGGTGGCTGAGGGGCTGAGGGTAGTGACAAAAGTTTGACCGTCGCAGGTTGGAGATGACCTTTTCCAACCGTCATTCTCAATTTACAAAGTTGGAGAGGAAGCACCCTTGCGAGGTGGGGGGAAGAAAAAAAAGCCTCTGGAGGTTTTCCAGAACTGCCTCCCAGTCCCAGCCTATCCCTGCCTGGAAGAATAATTGCATTTTGCCGGCAGATGTAGATTTATGCAAAAGACACTGTCCTGAAAGTTTGAAATCAGATTCCAGTATGGATGAGATGAGGCACCAGAAAAAAGATCTTTGGTTGTTAGCTTATCCAATTTCCCTAAAGCATGCGATTTTAAAAACGAACATTTTAGAAAACAACGAATTGGATTTAACAGATTTGGTCACTTATCCACCTTAATGGGAGTGTGTTCCCCAGGGCCCCCTCCCCTGCAAATGAAAATGAGATGATTTTGTGGGTTTCTCCCTTCCCAGTAAATAGTGGTGTGTTATTTTCTGGACTATTCGAAGGTAGCTGTGCATCTGCCCGAGTTTTTTATGGAATGGTTTGCCTACAGGTCCATAATGAATGATGGCTCTTTGCGGAGCTCTCAGCAATTATGTTACACGGCATTACGTTATACATTTGTTTTCCATGTATCGTATCAGTGGTTCTCAAATTCTTTAGATGACTACAAACCACTTCTGGGAGTCAGGAGATTCCCCGGCTCCACCAAAGTGCCCTCCTGCTTTGCCACTGGCAAAAGGAAGTCACCCGAGGAGGAATAGTGATGTTTTCAGAGAGAGACTAACCCGAGCGATCAGGAGTCTAGTGCTAATTCACATCAGGCACAAATGAGCAGCTGTAACCATGTTGTGGACACCCATGTCTTGCCAGTGCGGTCCCAAGGACTTCTGGGGGATCACTTTCTTAGCGGACTATTAATGTTATTTTTGTCATGTGACTTTACAGTGTTTTCCTCCGTTCCGGCTTGTTCGTTTCTTTCAAATTTTCATTTCTCTGGGACCTCCTTCCCCCACCCTCTAGTGCTTCTGTAAGCGGTGTAGCGGAGGGTCGGCACCCACAGTAATAAATGCTCACCACTGACCCCCTAGAAAGGCCTGCTTCTACTTTCAGTAATGGCTCCGGCTTTGATCTGCCTTCTGCTGCCACAAATTACCCAATCGCGTTTATTGAGAGCAAGATGGCTGCCATGGCCGGGTAGAGGAGCAGCATTGTCTCAGAGCATAGTCCTTGTCCTTGCCAGAGAATACTAATGTCACCCTCGTCCTGCATAAAAAACAAACAGTGCAGTTCGCGAAGAGAAAATGAGACTGGCGGCTCTTACCCCCAGTCTGGGCTTTGCCATACTCTGTGACTAGATTTGGGAACAAGCCTTTAAAGGGTAGCTTGCCAATGAAAGAGAAAAAAAAAAAAAGAAAAGAAAAGAAAAGAAAGAGAGAAAGAAAGAAAGGAGCAGCTCAGAGACCCCTTGACCCTGTCCTGTGTAAGCCATGGGAGGGAAATTCCAAAAGGCTTTTCAAACCTTTCTCTCTCTGTCCTTTGATATGTGACATGCAGTTCTCCTTACCCTCCCCCCTTCATTTTTCCTCTCTGCTTTCGTGGCCCTTCAAAAATTACCTCAGCTCTGGAAGTAGTGGGGTTGTTTTCTTTCAGTTTGTGGAATGAAACCTAGCAGGAGAATAAAGAGGAATTTTAGAACAAGCACTGACCTGGGAGACAGGGTCTCAGTTTTACCACGACAGGCTGTGTGCACTTGGTCAAGTCACCTGACTTCTCTGAGCCTCAGTGATAAAATAAGTGGACTCTTCCCAGTTCTTTGAAAATCACTGACCATATCAGGCAATTGTACAGAGGTTCAGGGAAGAAAGGTAGTGAAATTGGAGACAGACTAAAAAAAAGGTTTCTGCCAGAGAGTTATCAGAAGGTTGGAGACAGAAGTCACCTTCTCATGGTGCAAAATTATTAATAAAAAGTTTTTTGTTTTAACCTTTTTCTATACCCAGATCTCTGTCTCAAACTTGTCGTTATTGCTACCTCTAGGTATACGGTGGCCTCACCGCACTTGCCCTCTGTCCACCTCCTTCCTGATCAATCTCACCAATACCTTTCATCCAGAATTAGGTAGGAGGAATAGTCCTCTCTCTCCCATTGCTGTCTTATGAGAAGCATTTTTATCTTTTACAGAATTGTCTGGTGAAAATTTGACTACTGGAAAATGTGACTGGCAATTAGCATCACTGTCTTCTCTCTTTCCTCTGTTCCTTTTTTTTTTTTTCTCTGACCACTGTAATAACTCCCAACCGTATTCACTCATAGTTCTGAGAGAGGAGAGAAACCAAGATTAGGATGATCTTGCCCTTTAAGAAAAGATAGAGCATATATGCTTCCGGGTGGTGATTTAGTAGAATAATTCAAGTCAGAAAGGACTGTTTCAAGAGAAAGGAGATGAAGTTCCAATGGCAAATATATACAATGAATTTCAAGTCTACACTTCTTACTGTGGTCTTGTTAACTAAACTTAAATAAAGCTTGGCTTATGGCTTGTGAACCAATCATTTGAACACCTTCGCTGAGTATTTGTATCTTTCCCTTTCCTCAAAGGCGAGTAGTTGCCAGTGGGGAGTGTACCCTTGGGGATGATGAGTCCCCCTTCCCTCTTTTTTGGCAGAGGGTGGAATGAGGCATGTTCAGCACACATAGATATCAAGTGTACTCTCTCACCATAGCAAGGAGGGGCGCCTGGGGGCTCAGTCACTTAAGTATCCAACTCACAGCTCAGGTCATGATCTCATGGTTTGTGAGTTTGGACCCCGCATCAGACTCTGTGCTGATGGTGTGGAGCCTACCTGGGATTCTCCTTCTCTCCTCTCTGCCCCTTCCCTGTGTGTGTGCGCTCTCTCTCTCTCAAAAATAAATAAATAAACTTAAAAAATCCTGGAGAACTAATAGACCAAAAAAGTAGTTCTCTCAGAGCCATGGGACTAAGGGAGAGTTCTGTTTTGTGTGCTTTTCTGTATTTTCCAAAATTCTACAAAGAACTTCCACTACTATTATCTTTATATTGTATAAATATATACTTCACACTAAATACTATATTATAACATTATAATCTTTAATAATATTAAAGAAAATATCACTTTAAACACCACGAAAGAAATGCAACAATTGCCATTTTCTGTTACCGAGATGAAATTACATTGTGTGCATGGGAAAAACAGATGCAGGCATACTCTGATTTTTCTCAGCGGTGATGCTACAAATATATTGTAGCAAATGAACATATCAGTGATTGCAGCTGCTAGTTTGGTGGCTTCAGATGTCAGTGGCCTTTCAGAGTGTTGCCTGGGTCCTTCTTCCTCCCTCCTCTCCGGAGTAGTTCTGTTGGATCTAATATTTCTATACGTTAGGAAAGCTGTATGTTATGGATTCCCTTTGAATAGGGAGGATTCCTCTGGACACAAATAAAACATCCTCCAATTTTGAGAAATTTGGAAAGTTGGTCGTGATTTAGTCTGTTACATTTCTACCTAAAAGCCACCCTTGGAGTCAGTATCTTGAGAACACCCCATTTGGTGGCATTCATATCTTCAACTGTTGACATTCGGTTCTCATCACGAAATTGCTGTCAAGTTGGATAGAATTCTGTACACTTGGCAGCCTGGCCTAAGAGCTAAGCCCAAGACTGGAATAGCAGGAATTTGCAGGTCAAGACAGAAGGGCATTTGGAAGAGTGAGTCATAAGGAAGTCCGCATGGTATAGTTTACCAGACACAGCTCACATTGCACTAGGCCCTGATGTTTTAGTCACTTTAAAGAATGAATACGCGGTAGTCCCACCCAAAAGAACTAGAAAAAAAAAAATCAGGCACATTAGAAGCAAAAGTATTAACCTACTATTAATATTAACCTGTCCATTTGAAATCACGTTTACTCACTCTTTTGAAGCAGTTCATTTTCGTGTGTGTGGTTGCTTTCTCATAGAAACGTTTTCTCGGTCTACAATGAATAGCCAAATGTGGCAAGTGATTGGTTATACTTCGTAGCATCAGAGAATTTGAAAGCTGAAAGTGCCTATGGAACTTAGCTGGCTTCATGTATATATTTTTTAAAGTTTATTTATTTATTTTGAGAGAGAGTGTGTAGGGGATAGCAGAGAGAGAGGAGAGAGAGAGAATCCTGAGCAGGCTCCACGCTGTCAGCGCGGAGCCTGACACGGGGCTCGAACCCACGAAGCGTGAGACCGTGACCTGAGCTGAAATCAAGAGCTAGCTGCTTAACCAACCAAGCCACCCAGGCGCCCCTGGTTTGCAGTTTATCAATGAGGGACCTAAGCTCATGTCACTCAGTGAGTCAGAGGGACAGCTAGCCCTCAAATATTTAGGTCCTTTCACCCGTGAGCCGGCACAAGTGGTTCGTTCAGCTGCCCCAGCTGCCAGTGTAAACAGTGTGCCTTGATTTTAAATTTTGTTTTTCAGGAATTGGGAGACGTACCTGGAGAAATGGACGCTAGAAGAAAACACTGGAAGGAGAATATGTTTGCTCCTTCTTTTAGTGCACAGGATGTTCTAGATGAGGCTTCCCAGCCTGAATCGTCTTCTGAACAAATGACTTTAGATAAGGCCAATAGAATAGAAGGGATTTATAATTTGTCTAGTAGGAAGTTTCAAGAAGAAAATAAATTTCAGCGGAAAGAATTTATTTCTCAACTAAGTGAAAAAGAACAAGAACCAAATTTGAGAGAGAGAAAGATAAACATTTCAAAGAATGAAGCAGACACAAATTCTGTCTCCTGTGAATCATCTACTTTGGATGTGGTGACTGAAGAAAGCTTTATTAGCACGGAAGATCATGCTACCTGGAGTACAAAGGAATTACCAGTCCTCCCGCGGCAAGACACCAAGAAGAAATTCACCGAAGGAATGTCTCCGAAACTTCGCCTGAACCTTTTGAACGAAGAACTGGAAGAACTTAATATGAAATGCAGAAAAATAGAAGAGGAATTTGAAAATGCCGAAAAAGAACTCCTGAACTCCAAAAGAGAAGTCTCTGCAAAATCCCTAAATTTTCAGGACACAGGGACAGATGCTTCCAAGAAGGACTGGGAGCTCCAAGCTTTAAGAAACGACCTATCTGAAAGAGTGACTAACGTCCAGAACCTAACCGAAGAACTGCAGCAAGCCAAAGAGGTCATCCACAGGCTGAGCCGAGAGAACCGAGATTTAAAGGAGGCTGTTAGGAAACTGAAGCGTCAAACTGAGATCGGAAACACGCTCCTGAAGGAAGAAATGAAACTGTACTACGAACTAGAGATGGAAAAGATCCGCAGGGAGCTGGACGCCATCAAGAACGAGCTGAGAGCTGAGAAGAGCCTACAAGCAAGAAATAACAGGGCCCTGGAGCTGCTTCGGAAGCACTTTGCTTCTGTAACATCATCAAGTACCCTCGACAGCTTGACAGAAGAGTTTTTTTAAAACTTAACAAAAATTAAAAAAAAAAAGCCTTTCACAAGGCGAATCTTGGAGCCAAATCAGTGTTTCTTGTGCTTTCTTTGTGTGCTACTTAAAATGCGTGTAATCGGACGTAGTTTTTCATTTGGGTGGAATTACACATAAAATGTATAAGGGTTCCCTTCAAAGCCTCTGCTTCCTCTTTCGAATGACGTAATTGCGAGAGCCCACATAGAAATGAAGCTTCAGGAATCTCTTTATACACATATACATACATACATTTCACTCAAAGACCTGTAGTGATTCACCAAATCATTGATGAATACAAATCAACAGCCATTTTGTCATCTTGTGAGCAATATGTCCTTGGCACGTCAATATCCTTCCATCTGTGTTCACTGATGTTAACAATAAAAATCCTGTTTATGTGTGTAAGCATAACATGTGTCTCTGGGTCTTATAGCTGCTTGTTCAGACTCCATGGGATACTAAAAATGTATCTGCTTTCTTTGAGATCCAACCTTAATTAGACACATATAAACATCTCTGGAAAAAATGCAGTCCCCCCCCCCCTGCTGTTTTCCCCATGCTTTCTGCCTTGACCTGGCCGTGCAGTTCCCATAGACTGGAAGACGACTAAGAGGCATGGCTGTGACCTTTGCTAGAGCCCTGATTTTGTCGGCAATAGCTTTTGCAATTTCTCGTGCTGACCAGCAAGGGGCGTTGTTGAACACAGTTCTTCCCGAATCCCACTGGAGAACATTCATAAGCTTCGTGCCCAGTTTATGTCACCAGCTGGCTGGGACCGGAGTGAAAGGAGTAAGATGTCACCTTAGGTAAGCCCTTGGTGAGCTGGCTTGATCTGTATGGGAATCCAGTCCTGTCGGGCCTAGGCAATGACAGTTTTGTACTTACAGCGAATACAAGTGTACTGCTTCGGTCCTTTGGTGGAAACGATAGGCCAGTTGATTCCGTGCGATTGTTTGTATCTATCACCAAGGTGTCTTGTAACCGGAGTCCTATTTGCATGGCGCTTTTAAGTCCAGTGAGCCAAACGGAATTGCAGGTACAGTGGTAAGGGGTTAGGTGTCTTCCCTGATGGGAAATCCCCAAATCGGGAGTCCAGACGCTTGAGTTCTAAGACTGTTGTGCCATTAACTAGCTAAGTAACCTTCTAGGCCTCTTTGTCATCATCTGTAAAACGAGGGAGTACATCCATCATCCAGATTCTGTTCTAATGTTCTGTGATTTCAACCAGTGGTTTGGTTTGTAAGTGTAACTGTGCCTGTGATGAGGCAGGACTCCAGCACTGGATCCACTTGGTTCTAATACTTTGGGGATGTACTTGGCAGAACCGCCCCCCCCACAAAGGAAATATACACAGGCTCCTTTTTTTTTTTTTTTTTTTTTGGTAGTTTGAACACCTCCAAATACTATGTCATTAAAAAGTCAGGAGAGGAAGTAAATGAGGTTATTTGTTCTCCTTTCTCCGGTTTCATTTACTCATTAAGGTCAGGGAAGACACTGAATGAAGGCAACCTATGCTATCCTGGGAGGGGAGAGGCGAGCAGGGTATGCCTGGCCTGGGAAGATTGGACTTAATTGGGAGATAGTAATCTTTGGAGCTTTCTCACTCGGCCCTGAGAACTTAACCCAGGCGCTGGCAGCCTGCTGGAAGAGGAAGATGACTTTCGGGCGTCTGGTGGTCCCTGGCTTCCCACAAAGGTCTAGGCACAAAAGCAAACTAGGAACAATTTGCCTTGTTTGGCCCTCTTCCTCATCACCCCCTTAAATGCCCTTTGTCCTTGCCCCAGAAGGCCCTGCCTGCTAGTGTGCAGAGCCGCTTACATGTTTAAAATATTTTACAAATAGTGTTAGCCACGGGGCTCAATTTTTCTTAGTATATTTCAATTTTTGAAAAGGAGTTTTTTCACTCCAGGAGAATTTCTGTCAAGCAACCACATGTCTGAAGTCTTCAGTGACAACTTGGTTTCTCTTGCATGAGTGTGTATATGTGCTTATGTATGCTTAGGGGGCAGGGAAGGAGTGTGTCTACAAAAGGTAAGTGCATGGCTTAGCCCCGCTTTGGGGCACGGGGTGGAGTTGTATTGCTAGGAGGGAACGAGAACACAGATTCTTGAGGAGCCAGCCTTGGATGCTGAGCCCCGCACGGCCTGCCCTATGGAAAGGGCCTGGGGAAATCCTAGGTCCAGTCACTAACCAGGAGAGAATACACAATCACCAGGTCCAGGGGGCCAAGGAGAAATGGAAGCAAAGGTCACAAAACCAACAGTTTGGAGCCAGGAATGGGCCACATTTTTGGATGTTTTTTAAAAATATTATTTTTTAAAGATTTTATTTTAAGTAATCTCTACACCCAATGTGGGGCTCGAGCTTATAACCCCAAGAACAAGTCACACACTCTACTGACTGAGCCAGCCAGGCACCCTGAAGCTTTTATTTATTTATTTATTTATTTATTTATTTATTTATTACTTTTTAAACATTTGATTATTTTTTGAGAGAGAGAGAAACACACAGCGTGAGCTGACGAGGAGCAGAGAGAGAGGGAGACACAGAATCCGAAGCAGGCTCCAGGTTCTGAGCTGTCAGCACAGAGCCCAAGTCGGGGCTCGAACCCACGGACTGCAAGATCATGACCTGAGCTGAAGTCGGATACTTAACTGACTAAGCCACCGAGGTGCCCCATATTTATTTATTTTTTAAATATACATATTTTTTAAGTTTTATTTATTTTGACACAGAGAGAGAGTGTGTGAGCAGGGGAGGAGCAGAGAGAGGGAGAAACAGAATCCCAAGTAGACTCTGCGCTGTCAGCACATAGCCAGACATGGGGCTCGATCTTATCAACTATGAGATCATGACCTGAGCCAAAACCAAGAGTCAGATGCTCAGCCAACTGAGCCACGCAGGTGCCCCAGTGCTTTTATTTTTTAATGCAGGCTGTAATGTACTTGGAGAAAACTGGGCTGTTACTGTTCCTCTTCATGGACAGATGTGAAAAGCACTGGGTTGAACTGGGTTGAAGAGGCAGGATCAAGGCAGATGCAAATACTCTGTACCATTGTCGCCATAATCACATTCACTTGTTGAATTAGGTGGCCTCCAATTTTGATTAGAATATATTGTCGCTGAATCCTATAGTCTATCAAATGGGAGATGTGGAGGTGTGTTTTGTTTTTGTTTTTGTTTTTTTAGTGGGAATGGCACATCAGGCCACCCAGCCCTTTAATCGGTTGGATTAAATATTTGAAGTCAGCAATGCAACCGCACACCATTCTCCACCAACTCTCAGTTCCTTCTTTACTAAGAAGCATCGGCTGTCACGGGGCCCTAGGAGTTTCTGTTCTACCTTGAGTTCACAATCCAGTTCTAGAAACATTTGCTAAGCACTTATTACCATCATTCATCACTTTGGAGACATACTTTTGTTTTTTTTAACATTTTGACATAATGTTAATTATGTCAAAATAATTTGGGACACCCCTGAATAATTTGGGACACCTCCTCAAATCAATGACATATCATAGTATAATTGTCAGTTTTAAAAAATCTTTCTTAGCGGTTCATAAAATAATGGTATATCTTACAATCAATAGGGTTTTAGAGTTGATGAAATATGGCATGTGCTAGGCTGGGGATATCGGGATAAAAGGATTTATGACTAAGACAGGTCTCTGACCTCGAGGACCTTACTGATGCAACTAACTAAAACAATGTGGGAAGGGCTAGGCTAGCAGAGCTAACAGAGAGTGCGGGTGGGGGCACAGAGGAGGAGCAATTAATTCTGCCCGTGGGGCCGGGAAGGACTTCATAAAGGAGGTGACATTTGAGCTGGGCCTTGAAGGATAAGAAGGATTTTTCCAGGCGGAGCATGGGGGCGGGGGCAGGGGCATTTCTGGAATGTGAATGTGGAAGATCCATTTGGCTTCAAAGACGACTCTTAACAGCAATGTACAAGAGCACAGGGATGGTGCGTGTGGCTCATTCTTCAAGTCCCGTGTGAGGTTCTGCCCTGAAGACTCCAACATGCTTGTTCATTTGCACGTAGACTGGAGAATGCAGGTCTCATGACATAAAGACCAGGTTCCGGATAACAAACAGCAGGAAACAATTTTGCTGGTGCCACTGTACCTTGGCTGCCATCATTTTTGTTTTGGAAACAAAAGACCTAAGAGATTTGGGTCATAATACCCAGCTAAGTCCACCGTGAGGGGTCTGGTTTCAGAGACGTGTGAAAGAGAAACACCACACTGCTCTTTTGAGGAGCCAGGATAGCACAGAGATTAAGTGCACCAACGCCGCTTACCCACTTACTCGCCGTGTGACCTTGGGCAAGTTGCATAATCCCCTGTAACTCAGTTTTCTCACTTTGTAGGATGGGGTTAATAATTAGTGTTGTTGGGAGGGCGACCTGAGATCACACGGTCAATAAGCATCGCCATTGTTGTTATCATCATTATTATTGCATAACTGACAAGGGAAAATCGACCAAGTCTATTCGCCTCCCCCCAGCTATTACTCTGGCCAAGCTTGTCACCCTCATTGTCCCTCCAGTTCTGTTCTCTGGAGAGGATGCGGGAAACGCATTCACGGTACGTGTGTCGATGATGTGTGATTTGTCTGAGAAGGTGCAGCAAGTGGCAGAGAGGATATTTTTACCTTATTTGTATACAAGGCCTTAAAGCCAAAGTGATGAATCTTGGACTTTCCGGCCTCAGGACGAATCCTGTAAAGCGAAGTTTCTTGGGTCAGAGCCTACCCAACCCCCCTCCAATCAGGTCGGCATAAGGCTGGCCCCGGGCCCTGGCAGGCCGAACACCAGAAGGGGGAAGAAAGCCCTGCCCTAGTGCTCCAGTGGGAAAAGGCTCATCTAGGAAAGGGGAATGGAGACAAGAGAGGCTATTATAGTGTTTTCCATTTCCCCTTGGCACAGCTGCTCAGATAAGAATAAGGCATTGTCTTCCTCTTTGTACCCGTAAGACACTGACGCTGTAGTTGCCCACGTATTGTAGGT